TTAGGCCAGGATGAGACTGAGGTTGATGAATTATGTTGACGTGTTGATGATGTGACGATGACGACGACGACTGAGGTTGTTGTGAATGCGATTGCGGAGGGTGTTGGGAATGCGGTGATTGGGAATAGGATTGGGACTGATGAACCTGCTGTTGTTGTTGAGGCTGTGACTGGAGTTGAACCTGAGTTTGCATCTGAGGTTGTGGTGTTTGTGGATAGATCACTTGATTTTGCATACAATCATAGGATTGCGCTTGTTGCATTTGTTGGTGTTGATATTGTTGTTGTTGTTGTTGTGACTGTTGCTGTTGGTGTTGCATGCATTGCGCATCTTTAACTTGACTATACGTATCCATCGAGGTTACCATACAAACGTCACTAGCATTTTGGCTCGTATTACTACTGTTAAGTGCGCCACTTGTACCACAACTATCAACCATCCAGCTATCCGCTTCCTCACTCAAACGTCCAGAATCTGAAACAGCCACAGATTCATGATCACTTTTTAAGGAAATGCCAAAAAATTGCATCAAACTCTTATTTAAATCACACTTTGATTTGAATATAAGATTCCAAATTTTATATCTACGTCTAGTCTACATCGAAGTGAATGAAAAAATATCCCAACTCCATGTTACGGTTAATTTGCATTTGATACTCAATTCATTCAATCAAACAATGAACAAATTACTTTTCCGCTGACTCACTGAACAGTTTCCAAAAAAAGAAATATGAATGAATTCAACTATTGTACGTAACAAAACACAATCGAATATCTACCATACATAAAATAAAATTCCCCCACTCTATAATAATACACGAAACAATCCCTAAAGATAATTCGCAATATTACAGAATTTATCACATCTGAACTAACAAATGAAACCACAATCTTTAAAGCATTCATTACTCTCAACATGAATCATGGCTATCATACCAAATCAAATCAAATCAATTCCATTGATGTTCCCCACAGAGTGTTTCAGTATTTCATCAATATTTTTGCTAAACGAAACCTTTAGTTTTACCAGTGTTTCGTTTCAAAAAAATCATACAGAAATAAACCACTTTAAAGTCACTTCAATTAAATCTCAAATCCCAAACTCTAAAAATGCAAAATGAACAATTCCAGCAAACATTTTATATTACTGAAACTTACGTTGTTGAGATTGCTCGAATCCACAATGCATAATTGACGGCAACGGTTGTAAAGTTGTATTGTTATTATTCAGATTATTATTACTATTACTATTAAGTATATTATTGTTGTTGTTAACATTACTGTTACAATTATCACTGTTGTTATTATTCGCATTCATATTAGGTCGAATCTGATTGGCTTGTTGCTGCTGTTGATTCATTATGATTCCACCATCGTTTCTACCTGAATTCCAACTCATCGATGCGCCACCAACACCAGAATTATTCTGCTGTTGTTGAGAGGTTTGGCGTTGTGGATTAGAATTTTGATCATAGGGCGATTGCCGTAAAATCGACGATGTCGCAGCATTTGAGCTGTTGCTGCTACTGTTCGCGCTGCTGGCCAACTGATGATGTATGGCGTGTTTTTTCCGTTTCGGTTCCATCATACCGTTCATTATCATATGGGTACTACAGTATAGTGTATCTTTATCACTACGTATCGCATTCGTACAATACACATTCGTATCCTTTTTACCTGAATTTTTATACAATTCATTCATTCTACATTTGACCTATTGCATACCAATTTTGTAACAATTTTTTCCTAGTTGCAACTCAACTACATTCGAAGGCAGCAGCAGTGGCAGCATTTCACTGCACAAATCAAATCACAAACAAACATAAATCTCAACAGATGATCGATTACAACAGGAAAAACAAATTCTTCGAAGTTTAATGAAGCAAATCAATTGTTTCATTAAAACTATTTTTGATTCTTTCGCTAGAATCTTTGATTTTTTTCCACTAAAATTTTATCACCCTTTGATTTTTATCAAATTCCAATCAAACGATATCTAATGAATTTTGATGCCATACATATATACACGGGAGAGGACTTATCCATCCATCCAATGTTCCTCATTTCAAAATCATTTAATTGCGATGAATACAACATCTGCCTCTAGAAACTGGCTAACAAATGAAAACAAAAAACAAATCATCAGAACAAAATAAAATAAACATTAATTAGCAATAGACACAAACTTTTCGGTTTCCGTTTATGCTGACACTGTCGATAGGGTGCATCTGGATCGAGCAGAATATGTCGTATACAGTAACGATACGATAAGATTGCACGTTGACGACACTGAAAATAGCGATTTTATTTTTCATTAATCGTATTTCATTTCATTTCATTTATTTCATTCATTCGCTCATTCATTCAAAAAACAATCAATTGCATTCAACCGATTCGAATCGAATTTTCGCTTCATTTCAATTCTTTTTCTGTTCTCATTGTTCGCCACTTTCTTTTTTATTTCCAAAATGAAATGGAAATTTGCGTTCATTCAGAATATTTTTCGGGTTTATTCATTTATTCATCACTATTTTAAAGAAGAATATACAATGTTTTCGATCAGATGCTTGCCTGCCTATAGTGCTTTATTTTAAGATTGCTAATGAAAATGTATGCAAATTAATTATTGACGTTTTGTGCGTTTTGCGTCCTACTGCACATATATAAACACATGCACAACAAAGAGTTCAATCAGAAACAATTTTTGAATAATTACCGATAGACGCAGACTGACGATGATCCTGATTAAGTGAGTTTGCTAGTTTTCTCTAATCAATCTTAGAATAAATGAAAAAAAAACAACAAAGAACTGCAAGAGCGAAACCAAAGAAACTTCTTTGACTTAAAACGATAAACATCCACCAACTCGTATGAACTCACGCTCGTAACAAAAAAATTATTCGCGAAACATTCGATAAAATTGTGAAAAATCGCTTCAATTAACTCTTTGAATGTAGTTCAGTGCTTTGGTTTACTCATTCGATTACTTCACTTCGGTGATCATTTTTTCGAGTAATTGCTTCATTAAAACTGCTTTGGATGGGATAATCCCATGCACAGAATCGAAAAGAAAAATGCAGACTAAACAATTCGGTAACACATCGATGCTGTCAATGAAAAGCATTGAGATTTACGATCATCAAGAATGCAAGAAAGTCTCCAGTAATTAAGTATAATAGTTATGATCAGTCGAGGAAACTCTCATCTTTTCCGGCGTCAAAATTTCCAGAAATAAATGGAAAAGGCATAAAATCAATTCAGACTATAATAATGCACATTTCTGCTTCATATATCGTTTGTTTCCTTGATTTTTTTGGTCATCAATCATTTCGTTAGTGTTTATTGACCCTCAAAAAGTATTTTACCTGATTCAACTAACTGAACAAGAATAGGTCCTTTCAACTTAACTCTTAACATTATTGTTTCAGAGTGCGTCCTAATCAAATCAACGTCAAATTTATTGTGTTAGTGTTGCTGCTGTTTTTTTCTCTAAAGTTTACTCTCTATTTACACATAAAATTGCATAAATTAGATTCGTTCATTCATTCGAATGAAATTTGCTCCAACAGGAAACTTAATTTCACTAATTTATTGACTGATGATGCATCATTCTGAAGTCGTTTCGCAGTCTCGTGCAGCTAATTGTAGGGAGAAAAACACACACAAAATCAATCACTCAATTTACGGAACCTTTTCTTTTTTTTTTCGCTCACCTTGTAATTTGACTCAAATCTGTGTCATATTCATCGTTTAGCGTCTAGCAAACGAAATCTTTCCAAACTCTTTTTTCAGTCTACAATTTCCCCATTTACGAGAGTAAATGACAACGTTTAATGAAAGCACACAAATTTATAGTTTTCCCAACTAAGCAATAAAGTTTTCAAATGACTGATATTACTGTGTATCAATAGCACACTAGCTGTCAATTTCATTCAGTTTAATCTAATTGATTGCTCAGCTGCCTATCATGAGTTTTGTTAACAGAAACATGAGCTTTCGTAAACAAAAGTAAACTTGAATTTTATCCTGGCAAGAAATCAAGCCATCTGATAACGCGAAGCATCATGAATAACATGAACATAGTTCTCAGCCACTCCTATTGTAATTTGACTCGTTATGAAATCTGCACCAACCATCGGACATCTACTCTAATTATAAGGTCTAATGTTGTTCACAAACCCTTTCTTCAATTTCCTCGTCACAATAAAATGGCACAATAATGATTCCCTATTTTCGTACCAAATCATTTGTTCAGCTGTGAAACAATTTAACACTTTCGCGATGACCTTTGGAATATTTGAAATCTTCGTCATACAATTCAAAAAATGAAGAATAAGAAAACATCATCTCAAAGAGGTCGTCGTCTTTTCTAAATGCATTTCAACATTTCAGAGGCTCTAACAAATATTCATAAAAATATAAGAGAAATGAGCACGACATGTACTTTTCTTTGCAAATTCAATTCAAATCATTTTGCGATTTCAATTGCGTTTTCATCTGCTTTAATTCAATTTGATGACTGGATATGTTTGGGTGTGTCTTTTATTCTTCGAATATTCCATTCATTCATTTATACATTCTCGAGTTCATTCAATAACAATAACAAAATCTTATTACTCTCCTTCAACGATCCATTCAGATTATTCATTCACTCAAGAGAATATCACTAATGAGGATGAATCTGAGTAACGATGTCCCAAAGTAATGATGCATACAATATGATCGTCCCAAAGTTTAGAGTGAATTTCATCGCGAAATCCCAAATCTTGCTGCATCCAATTTATCACGCTATTGTATTTTGCTTCATAGAAGAACACATCATGTGATGATGATAATGAACCACGAGAAAAATTCACATGAGAGATCGATAAGAATAGGATTAATGATGCGCACTGATTAATTTGTTTAGAGCTTAACGCAGTCACTTGAGCACACAAAGCATGCATTCCTATCTGCGCTCTGATTTCAAGCCAGATGCGATTCGAGAGGTTTCACGAATGCTTACAAATGATACACATGCATGCCAATGATAACTACGCGATGATTTCACATCTATCACCGTTACAAAATGATGATTTCATTTTTCAATCTGATTTCATTTCGGTTCTCATAGAATTTGATTTCTCATCAATCTGACTGCAATTTTGCTTTTTCAAACAAACCAACAAACGAACAAGTAATTAGAGTTTGTAACACTAGTTTGGAAAAATTTTTTTCGAAAGATTCATTAAAATTGTTGAGGAAACATCTTCCTACAAAAATTTTATTGACAATTTTAGTACGTTACGTATGAACACTGATTTGAGTTTTCGAAATCACGAGATGCGATGATGATGTTTTATTTTGCAGTATCATTACATTTGATTGTCATAAATCGCTTTTTAGTTCTCGATTATTTCGCTTTCGCATTTCACAAAAAAAATCCGATTTTTTCATAAAAGTTCCATGAAAAATTCCACATGATGACATTTACACTGCATTGATGACATTTACAATTTACAATTACACTGCCCTCATTCACTTGTCATGTGCAACATTCTGTGTCCAATAATTTACTAATCAACTACACTTACTGTACTGAGTAAAAAGCTTTTTTCCTTATCTTCATTATGAACTCTATTGACAAACTTTTCAATCTCCAACCCGACGAAACAATTGTAAATAGTAAGGAAAACAAAACTTGAAGAGAGAATACTTGAAATGTAAACTGATCCCGCAATACATCAGAAATCATTTCGCTATTACTACGTCAAATACACTCGCTTACGTAAATATAATGCATAGCTGATATATTTTCACCGTATTATTTTACACTGTGAAGAGAACAAATAAAAATTGTAAATTTTTGCTCGTCAAATAAACCGTTTCAAACTCGACGAGAAGAACGAACATTTTTTGCTAATTTCATTTAACATTCACTCTTTTTTTNTTTTTTTCGGAATTCTGAATCGGAAATGTCATTTATTCAGTCATTCATTTATTTGCCATTTCTATGCAAAACTGTAAATGCTCTCATGTTCCATGTCTTTTCCATCCATCCTCTGCAAGCTTCCATCCCCTCTCTCCTTCATCTTTGAATTTGAATTCTCCTCAAGCATAGAAGTTCCCTCAAAACTACTTACATACATACATACTTGCTGTTCGCTTTCATCAAATTCGTACTTAGTCATCAGCATTTTCATCATTCAATACTGCAAATGTGGTGGAAATTTCGTTTTTTCTTTCATATTAGCTACCAGCAACTCACACAAAGAATAAAATCTCTTCAGAACAAAACAAATCTTCAACACATTGCCGAATTCAACGCATTCAATCCACTATGATAAGTAAACAAGATAACCGATGCATCTATCCATCGATCACCCGTCATAAATTCTTCAAATACTCAACTGAATTGTGCAATTAATTATTTAAAGCAACATCCAACACAACAATAGCACTACACTTCCACTCTTACTATTAGCATGCATTTCATCAAAATTTCAGATTCATTTCTGCAACAGTTTCATTTGTTCATCAAATGCATTGGCAAATAAAATATTACACGCAAACATCAACAATAATGTGTATGATTGATTGATGTCGAGTATTGTATCACATCATATGATTGAGTATATATTTCCACTTTCGCCAATCAATCTTGTCCACATTTTTTCCGTCAATATTTCTGTTCGACATAACAAACGTTCCGAGGAAGCATTCAGTCAGGCAGTTCTTTTTTTCTTATTGAACGAATGAATACTTTCTCAAGACGACGACGAAGCACGATAAAGAAACACACAGAACCTCTCTAATATTCATTCACTCATTTATTCATTCCTTCAACTAACTCAAGAAAAGACTCTTCTCTGAACGATTCATTCGTTCGTTTCGCTCTCTCATCGAAACATTCCGAGCAAATAAACAAATTCAATTCATTATTTATTTGCTTCTTCACAAAAATGCAATAAAACGCATCAGATAGATCGATATGAAACGCATCAAATCGATCACAATGTACTTGACACAACAATTGTATATTTTCGTTCTTTTGAATTCTTCGATTCATTGAAATTTCAAAATTATATTCTTCATTCACATCTCATGCTCCGTATGAATTCAAATTCTCACTCACGCACATTCCAATTTTTGCAAACACATTCACTTCAACGCATCATACTCTCAACAAAAACATCAAAAAAAAATTGAAGAGCTGTTTTGAAATTTCATTAATTCAATCACACCAATCAACAAATGTTTCAGGGTTTCCGATCAAAACATTTGCTGCATTTGACAGAAAACACTTCTTAATTTTGAGAAATTCTCTTCGAAACACTCCCTTCCTCTTCCATTTCGTTTCACTTCGAATATGGCATTTATTAAGAATGCATATGGCAAATTACTTTTCAAACAAAAATTCAGTTAGTTCGCCGACCAACTTTTGCCTTTTCTAAAATCATTTGACACATAGAGCGATTTGCTGGCCATTTCATCGATTCCTTGTATTGATATCATTTTGTTTTAAAGAAAATTTTTTCGCCACAGGTGTTCCCACCTCACTTCACGTCGACTTAATTGCTGTTCCACAAATTAAAAATAGGACAGAGAATGAAACCTCAGCAAATTCTCGCGTTCGACTAACGACATGGGAGGATAACTCAATAACGCAGTCAATCTCAAATAATGCTCAACTCAAGTGATCAAAAATCATTTTCCAGATATTCATTAACGCAGGTCACAAAGAAACCAGCAATTTTTCATGCCACATGTGAACATTTCCAAAACAATTCTCTCAATCACTTCTATATTCCGTTTTCTTAACGAAATCTTCCTCTTTCATTTGTTCATCTCCATTATGAATTTGACTACTGAATCTATCATAATGACGAGAACAATGCACACATTTAAGGAAAGAGCTATTCTCGCTAATTATCAATTGTAACATACAATAGATAACATACATATCTATGAACTAGTTCAATATTTGAATGCACTCAAATACTCCGTATTCAATCAGTTGAAAACACAGCTGGAAACTGCTCAAACTAGACCAGAACAAAACCCCTGCGCTAACAAATCTACGCCACAGACAAATTCTTTCAACTTAAAAGGAACTAACAACATTCATCCTCTTCCTCTCATTTCTAGTACATTTTCGTTTTATGTTGTTCGTCAACCAAAAAATTCTGGCCAACAAAATGAACACTCATTAAACCATTTTCGTTTCGTTTGTTCGTTCTGAACCGTTGTTGTTCGATGTCGATCGGTCGGAAGTAATTGAAGCAGCGCAATTTTTTTAAAATCATTAACACATTCCGAACAATGAATATGCACTGTTACGCTGCTCTCTTCATCGCTCTCAATATATTCCTCGTTTCAAAAGCGCTACTATTTTCATACCGAGACCAACAGAATTTCCGAAGAGTACGACGTAACAATATGAACAACATAAAATTTGCTAATATATGAACCCAATAATGATTCAACGTTATGTTGTTCCGAGTTTTCGCTTTCTGCATTACACCACATCATGTTCAGATCTATCTTATCGTATTTTATGCTAGCTCATAAATCATTTCATTGATTTTTCAATGGATCAGTCCATCAATCAATCGATCAATCAAACACCAATAATGATAATCATATTTCATTTGAAATTCATCATCGAAAAACTCTAAAGTTTTAGAACGGTTTCTTCTTTTTTTTTTTCAAGCAATCACGCATACATCATCTTCCTCTTCCGAAATATGTTCTCTTCTGCTGCGTCTCATTTCGTCTCATTCAATTTGAAGGCGACCAAAAAAAAAGAATCTAACTCAAACAAATTTCAGTTATATCTTTCATCCATCCGTTCACATTCCGAAACACATTCAGCTGACGCGAAACAAAATGAACACAATTGAGAGAATTTATGCACAGCAATAAATCTTTTCTTTTTTCGAATGATGACGAATTGATTTATCAATCTTCTGATTTTTCAGCTTTTCTTCCTCCAGTCAAATACACAGTAGATCTATCAGGCATTCGTTCTGAGGCTTTCAGCTAATAGCTGCTGCTGCCTTAGCATCTTGTTTCATATCTATCTATCAGTCTATCTCATTCGCACTTTATTACGCCATAAACGTTACGAATCAAGTCCAATTTGTTTCTGACACATCTTCTACGGACATAAACATGACTGAATACATCCAATGGCCGTCAACACAACAACAGAATCCAACTTCACACAGCCATGTTTCTTGCAGTCTTTCTCTGCTTCCAAGCAATTTAAGCTCATCAAACAAGCCAACAACTATATATCAAAAATCCCTTCTCATTGAAATACTTTTCGGCTGCCTTCTCGAACTGATTACAAAACAGAGAAAAATGACTGCTTCAAGAAGTTGTTCACACTCAAATTTTTCACACTCAAATTTTGTTGCCGTCATGTTTCTGAAACGACGACAACAGCAAAGTGCAATACACTTCAGATTGCGTGAACACCAAGGATTCTTTTAGAGATTTTCGTTTAATGTTCAAATATTGGATGCATTCTTCAAGCTCAATCAAATATGCGCTCATCGCAACACAACAACATATGCGCTGCTCATATTCATTGTCGTTCACTTCGACGGATATCAGCGAGAAAGAATTTTTGTTTTCCGAAAAATCTCATCAGAGACTTTTCGCTCAAAATTTTCTTTTCAATAAATCGAAATTTGGTTGTGCCATCAGCTTTGTTGCTGTTTTTTTTTGTTCACATTCACACTCAAAACTCCGCTAAAGAATCTGATGATGCTTCGGGGCAAATAACGAAAAAGATACAAGAAGACGACGAAGCAGAAGCAATTAGAAAATATCGCCGCCATTCGAAGAAACAAAAAAAAAGTTTCTCAATAGAGTTAGTTGAGTCGAACAATTTATGTCTTCTTCGTTTTGCTACCATACAATTGCAGCACGATTCGAGGAAGAAATTTTTAGTTAGTCCAGCTGATATGATGATTTTCACTCGAAAATATATCATCATCTCATCGCATACAATAAAAGTTATGTGCGACGTCACGGAAAATTTCTGCTAAATTTCCGACAAAAAAAAGACAAGCAAACATGACTTGATGATGCAGACTGCAAAAATGAATGAAAGACGGCAGCAGGAAAAAAGAGACACGAGTCATTCGAAAATATTCAAACGACTGCTTCAAGCGTAAAATATACCTAATAAAAACGAAACGGAAATGCAGCAATTGCACGCAATGGAATGGAATAAGGTCAACTGACTAAATTGATTAGGGAATAAATAATTAACGAATGGAAATGTTTTCGATGAATGGAGGATTTGAACGAAATAAGCAGCGACGAGTCAAGAATGCGCATTTCCAATTGATCAAGGATCATAACAATCTAAACCCTTTGCAAATGTCGTTTGGCAATTAATCGTTTCAGAATTCGATACGATTCGCTAAGTGATCAAAAAGGCAGGCAGATGTGATAAAATGAATCTCTCACTCAAATAACAACANAATGAAATGAAATGAAATCAGGAGAACGAACCTGTCCTTTTCCGTTCGGATCATTTTGCTCACAAAAATGTGACGGTGGACCGGCTTTCTCTCGACGTCGTTTTGCAGCCGACATTACAGTTCGAGTCGGTAATGAAGAGGTTGCAGCCGAGGGATTATTGGCATTATTCGTCGGAACGGTTGACGGAGTTGGAACAACAACATTGGACGTTGAAGACGTTTGGGGTGATGGTAGAATAGCGTCAAATGATGAGGTTGTGGGCGATTCGGATTGTTGCTTGAACGCTGACGAGGAGCCTTCGGATTCGTTGGTGGAGCGAAATTGCGATTGTGCCACGTGTTGTGGCTGAGATTGCAACGAGGAGGATTGTGGAGCCGTAGACGCTGAGGCAGAAGCGATCGGAATAGCAACATTTTCATAGGACACAGCAACATTATTATTATTATGGCTTGTGTTACTGGCATTAGTGTTATTAATGAGGATGGCATTTCCCATTGTAGACGATGAAGCCATTGGGGGCTCTGCGGAATCCTCCACAGATGAGTGCACTTCATTATCGCACACTGAAACAATTTTTTTAACGTTTTGTTTTCTTTGGTGAAATTTCGTCGTTTCGTTGCCTTTTGACTGTTCAGTGATCGTCGATCAGATGCTACGATTCGCAAAGTTCGTCTGTTAATTGACAATTCGTAAAAAATTCGAAAGAAAAATTTCTTTCACTCCTGCGCTCCACTTTTACAAAATTTTTTTGGAATGAATATTTCACACTGATTGCAAACGTTTTTGTGAGCATGATTGTTTGTTTGTACATGTTTAGTAGGCTTATGATGTTAATTGAAATAATCACTCTTGTCATAGCTTTCATTGTCGATTAATCACTGCATTTCTCATCAATTAGTCGAACGTCTAATCAATCTCAGAAAAACAATTCCGGAAGAATGCACACAATCACAAGTGCTCCGACTTGTTACAAGTGTTCTCATATGATGAGCGAGTTTGCTTCATAGACACAGACACACGAAGAACAGTAAAACTACAAAAGAAGTAACAGAATCTCACCTGCAGATGATGACGGTCTCTGATCGTCCAAATGAAAATCATTATCACTACTAACATTGTTGTTATTGGTCAGTGATATATACGAATGTGCGCTATTATTGGTATTATTTTTGTTAATTTTGCCACTGTTAGTATTGGTTTTATTTGTGGATTGTGTTGGTAGAATACTTGTCGATGGCGTATCCAATTGAATTGGTGATGAGGCTGTATCACAAAGAGGACTCGAGTCCACAGTTGAACTACACACCTCATTCACCTGTTCGCGACTCTCATCTTTTTGTATCTGAACATAAATTTAATCATTTCGTTCAATTAGCTAATTTAAATCTTAATTTTGAGACTTCTACTCACCTCAAATGGCCAATACTAATCACTGCTATAGACCTTCCCTTAGGTTTTTTAATAATTATCATTTTCTCAACACCACATAAGAATCAATCAAAACAATTTTCTGCTCTACATCCAGCATCTTAATGAACCACTTTGTTAAGCAGGAATATGCCCTCGCCATAGATCAGCCGAATTTGGAGTTTCCCTCATCTTGGCAAGCCATAAGCAAGTTCTTGAAATCATCATCATAATATCTCAGTGCTTAAGTTCCGCAAATTCAATGCTTTTAACCGTCCGAGAACATTAAGCGAATTTCGAACATTTTTCGCTACCATTATTACTAGTAACAATATCTCATTATTATCATGATCAAGCAACAATCCTTATGAACAACATACCGTTTCATGTTGATCATCACAACAGAGACTATAAACCCTCCCTCTAGCCTCGATAATAAAACTGAACTGAACTATTCGAAAGATTCAAATAAAAGCTCAAATGTATTCGCTCAATAAACACAACATCTGAATAGGAATCAGTTTGCTTACATCAAATAGGCACAACCCCGAAATAGCATCTAACATTGCACGTTTGTTTAGCTGCTTGCTTTGTGATTTGATTTGCGATTGCTTTGCTTAAAAGAACGCAAACCGAACGAGAACACAAACTATGTTTAAAGAAAGAGTATCTATCTATCTATCTATCCATCATCATCACATCACATCAGATAAATTTTCTTCTCTCGTCGAAATAATTTTTTTCCTCCCCAAAGCAAATACGACTAACTACTTTCTTTACTCTTCGCTATCCTTCAAATATAAATATACACATATAGATGATTACGTGAGAGCACGATTCATTTCCCACGCCCACATTAACACAGAATAATATGTGTATGTGCATTAACACGTTTCAAGCTCAGCTCATTTTCAGCAAACAATACTTGCTCGGATGAAATGAAAATGACGAAAGAGATCAATTCCCTTCCGAAATTCCAAGAAAACCCGTCCGTCTAGAGTGTTCCAAAATCATTCACTAAGCCAGAATATCTCAAGAGCAATTCGATTCAATTCAAATACCTTAATTTCTCGTTGTTTATAAATGTGAAGCTGAACGGGTACTCAGTCACTTAACAAGTTTGTGGGGTAACTAACGATTTTTATCAAATGCTCGTGCAAGATCTCAAATCAATTAGATATGCTGCTGCGTATGAATGATTGAAAAGAGCGAAAACTGTTCAAAAGTGATCCCGAAAAAAAAAACCTTTCATCATCTTTTATTACGCAGAAAAGTTGCGATCAGTGCAAATCAGAGGCAAAAAGCTCTCGAGATGAGATGTTTGTGCGCCGTAAATTGTAAGACAACTTTAAGTAGGCAATGATTAATGTACACAGCAACTTTGCTACTGTTCATTAACAAATTCCTAATGATTGATCTGAATGATTTCAACGAACATCGCAACGAATGACTGATTCAATTTCCGATTGAACGATAATGGCGCAAACACTCAATTTCTTCCTTCCTTTCAGATGAATTTAATGTCAACAAACTTTTTCATCGCGTAGCTTTCAAAATAACTTTTTCACTGTTGTTGTTGTTCGCATTTCATTTCAGTCAATTTGAAGATACTTTGAACTCTCAATGGGATTGAGTGAAAGAGAGTGGAGACTGACTCCCTTGATGTTTAGTTTAATAAAAAAGAGCCCCATCCAGACATGATTCACCGAAACTGACGGCGTTTCAAATATGATGAATGATATTGTTGGAGAAGCAAACAAGACGATGCAAGCAAACGATAGCACAAGTGATATTCGGTGATAACAGTAAAGCGCTTATATGCTCATAAAAAGTTACTGATCAAAACGAACGACAAAAAAATGACTCGAATGAAATGAATCAAACAAACCATTAAATTCGAAGATGTCGTCGTAATATTATTACTGTTGTTATTACTATTCATATTGGAATTACCACTGTTAATGTTATTAATGCCGCCACCAGCACTATTATTATTAATATTATTACTGTTATTACTATTATTCTGATTGATAATCTGATTAGTGGAACAATCACAATCGATCATCATCATACTCTGATTGCCATTCACCATTGCACTATTGGTGCTTTCATTGCCACACGATACAGCTGTATAATTCGCTGACTGCTGCGATGACACGGACGCAGTTGGCATTTTAATACAGCGACGAGCCGAAGTCACTGCGCCTGTGCCTGTGCCGGTCACAGGTCCTGAACCCGCAGTGGTTGTGGCATTGCCCAAGCCATCTCCAAGTGAAGCGCCCACACCGACAGCTGTGCCAGATGAATTGATGATGGTGGTGGTACCGCCAGATGATTGTACGACACTACCGGATGGCGTACAAGCGGTACTCGTTGTTGACGAGGTGCTGCTGGTTGTGGCCGATTGAAAATGCGTCGTAACGGCCTCTTCAACCGCTTTCGAGATATCCGATGCAGCTGCCAGCGTCTTCTGATCGATCTTCAAATCCAGTTGCATGCTCACACCACCAAAGCAAACGTTCGCGGGCACCACAATCGTGTAACCTTCAATCGTTTGCGTTATTTCTCACAAGCAATGCGATTACGAAATCATTTATGTGTGTGTGGGTGCGTGGAATAACCTCGATTGAAATCAATTTCATTAAGTGATGATAGCTTATATCGTCATTCATTGAGCTATCTAATTACTTATAGCACTAACTAATTTAATTCCTTCAAACGTGAAACCATTCGAATTGCACTTTTCAAGTAGTCTATCTCATATAAGTTAATCATTCTCCGTTGCCATCAATTACGAATTTCAACTCAAAGAAAATAATTGAGTTCATGTAAAAGCAATTGTTTTTCGGCACATTTTTTGTTTATTCGAAGTAATCGAGAACAACCGTTGACAAGTGTAATACTTCCTGATTTGTGATGAATTTAGTGAATACTAATTTCAACAATTCAATGCTGATTGTGAGATATGAAAGTGCGTTTGAATGTACGTACCTCGATCTTTATCGGAGCCACTTGATGAGGACGTAAGAGCAAATGAATTGGAGAAGCGATTGGGCTGATTTGGCGGATCTGTGACAATTTGATCGCCCATCGATCGATAGTGTTCAACGTTTTCTTTTCAGTTTCGCTATCAAATCGTTTCGCATTCTATGCTTCTGATGCACAGAAAACCCACACACTCACACACACACGCCAACACACCCGTGATCAAACCACACAAAAAATTGTTCAAATTTGTTGAATTCTCCGATTAGTATGCACAATATCATAAAAGTTATCGAATGTGGTTCGATAATTCAGAGTATTATTACCGTTGAAATTCTATTTTATTGACTTCCTGAAATGATAATAAAACGTTAATAAAATTCACCCGTTTGCAAAATCACTTTCTCATGAATTAATATATCGTAACGTACGCTTGCATCTTAAACGTTTACTGATCAACAACACACACTAGAATGCGCACTGAACTGAATTGGAATACAACTGCAACGGTGGATCCAATGGAAGAGTGAGAATTAGAAGAATTTTGCATTTGATGATTTGAACGACGACCAATCTCGAGCTCTGCTCGTTAAATCATCTTTAAAAATTACCAAAAGTTGACTTTTCATTATTGCTGAATATTTTCGTCAATGTTCGAATCCTTTCTCTCCGATGGAAACTCTTCATTGAAACAGGAAAAACCTCTGCCGAGAACATTCTCATTCATTCCAGCACCCACGCAAGAAAGACAAAAAAAGAATGACATCATGGAATAATCAATCCATTGCAATATTTGATATTCTTCGCATGAAAATTAAGACCTCCATCATGATATTTATAATTACACTAGAGCGGTGTTGAATTTCTTGGAAAATGGCGAAACAGCATCGCACGNGAACTTCACCAATTGAAATAAGTATCAATGCGATGATTTAATTAGTGTTGTATTGTTATTATCAAAAAATATTACTTGTAACAAATGCTGCCGGCCTTAGCTAAGCGGTCGACTGGCAATTATAGTCGAACCAAACGAGCAACTCCAAAATGCGCAAGCAAATGATGAAAACGATAACGTCTAGCAAGAAGAATGACGCCATAATATCGAATACTACATTCAATTATTTATAAGAATCACGAACATAAGAATTTATTCGTGAGAAATGTTCACAATTTTAGATTTCAATAGAAATGCGATTTGGAGCAATTTTTTGAGATTGCTTTGTGCTCACATTTCCATTGACCGAATACAGGCGGATCAAATTACTTGAATACGCCGAAGATTGGAAAAGATTTGTGGCTATGTTTTGAGGATGGGCACTGCTAATTCAGCATCAAACAAAACCGACCGACACAACAAGAACTTTCCCGCAGTTGCGTACACTGAAGCGACACTGGATTAATTGCTCTTTTGGTTATCAGAATGATTTCATCAGCCATAATTTATGATTGCATTTCAAAGTAATGACTAAATTTATTCCCAGAACAGCGTATTCCTCGTCTGATAGTGTGATTCATGCTTCAAATGATACCCTCCTCCCATTTTTTTTTNTTTTTTTTTAGAACTCGGCATAAACTCAGGATCTATCAATTATCATAACATGGATATGAAGCAGACTCTTCAACATCTAGGGATAGAGACAAGTGGTTCTTCTCCTGCTTTTACACTACCACATATCAGACAACCGTTCCCTCAACAATAATCTATGTGCACGAGCCAACTTATCCCCTCTCCTCATTTCACCGTCACCGGTAATCGAATAATTCTTAGCGACAAATTAGAAGGAAATCAAGGAACTGATTCAATAATCAACAAGTTTGTTGCTAAAAATTTCTGCTGCATCAATGGAATTAACTCCTTGAGAACAAGTAAACAATTTGAAAAAATTATTGGATAACTATGGAAGAGTCGAGGAGAAAAACCAATCCACAATGATTTGTCAAACTCCTCAAGTTTCTATTACATCCTCAAATTCTCTTCCTCTTCCTTTGCCCTTTACCAATGAAAATCATTAAAATGCATATATTAAGAGTGGAAACGGAGAATAAATTCTCAGAACGGAACAGACGATTACCTGACCGCGGGATCAAATATTTTTCCAAATAAGAAGATTATTACATCACTGAAGGTTGAAAACATTTCAATTGATGAAATTCTTCAAAGAATTCTGCGAGATCTCTTGAATCGTTCGAAGAGAATCAAGAAATTCAGACCATAAGATGATTCAAGATAAATTTCGTATATGCGATATCCTAGATTATTTATTCAAATTTCACACCATAATGCGCTTTCCTCTTGAACAATAAAAAAANAAAAAAACCGAAAAGTCTTTACATCGTTATGGCTGGCTGTCAGATTAAACGATCAATTTCCTCATTTCATTTGAATGCATCAATTTTCATGACTTCATGCATAACCAACAACAACCAATGACATGCAATTCAAAATGCCTTTGATGGTTCATTCGTTATCACCTGCTGTGAAAGCGATTAAGATCTGAGAGAGTGACGCACGAACACCTTTTGAATCGTTCGTAACTGCACGTTGTTGTCTTTCGAAGACATTGCTGTTGTGAGTAAGACCACTTGCAAAATAACACTAACGACATGAACATCCGATAAAACCCCAACATCCAGACTCATCAAGCATAATCCTTGCAGCAATTCGCCTTTTCTCGCATTTTTGTTCACTTTCGGCAATTATAATCAAATGATTTGAGTTTGAGGAAGAAGACGACTAGTGGACGAAATTATCTGCTCGTATAATGTGCATGCAGTATATCTTGCTAGTGCGCTGAACCAATCAAACGATATTTAAGGTGTAATTTGGGAGGAGAACGTGAACATGAACGACTGAATCCAGTGATAATGATGATGATGGTTTATTGGTATGAGCCAGCTCAGTCTGTTCGGTTTTTTTACAGATTCAAAGTGAGCGCATGGCCATGAAAAAGTTTGTGAAACACAAGACATGAGAGTTGATTGGTTACGTGCAGTCGACTGGTTTAGGGTTAATTATGTTACACTAAGAATGAGAGTTGTAAATAAAACATGGGCATTATTTTCGAAAACTTGAAAATTTTCGTCTGAATTAGGAAAAAAACTCTTAGTTTTCGGATTGTTGCTGTGACCTTCATCAGCGATCAAATGTGAGTGTCGTCGTATTTGTGCGCTATCAATGATTGGATTATATTCACTTACGGATACATGAATATGCGAAAGTAGAGTGGTCGTATAAATATGATAAAATGCGTGTTTCTCAATGATAATGTGGATTATGCGCTTTCCGTTGAAGAAAAAGTCGAACTGCAAANTTTGGGAACAATCAGGTGAACTTCGTGAATAATTGTTTCAACTTTTACAAGTCAAGATGAAAATAATGTGATCATTTGGCCGGAAGGAAACACAAGAATATCATAAACTATTTCGTGAACTAGTTCAGCAAGACACGTCGAACATGTGTTTTTGATTACACTTCGTGGAAATTTTGATTACCGATCCGAATTGCACACAGCGCTATTCACCTCATACACGAATGATTTCTTCAAATGATTGAATTGAGAACTTTCAATGAGATATTCAGTTAGCTCTTGTAGCTGGCCAGAAATTTTGTGAGAAGAAAAGTTATTATCATTACATTAATCACGTGATATTGGTGAAAGTTTCACTGTTACGGCATAATTTCCATGACATTTTCAAGGAATTTTAAGGCCAGTTAACTTTGCTCGGAAGAAGCTCAACGGAAACATAACTTTATGACTGAATAAAATTTAGAAACACTCCTTTCAAATATCACAGGAGCGCATATGATAAAGATTACGAATGATTTATCTAATTGGGCTAATCATAATGACTGATGTAGACAGGTGATTTCGTGGACGGATGTTACCGATCGTTATGGGTAAATCTATAAAATTCTCAGAACGCACCATGGACACGGCAGTTCATGCGTTAAATACCATTCGAATCAACGAAACATTTTTCCATGATGGAAATCTCACATCATCGGATTGTTGGAATCCTTTCAATATTATATTTCTGCTGCGCTTTTTTTCGTTTCGTTTCACATAAGCTTCTTGGAAATAAAGGCTTCAGTCACTTCTACACGTTCATGCTCTGAACTAATCTCAATCTCGAAAAATTAATTAGATGGACAGTTTCCGATCGCAGTCAACAATATATCATTCAATTGATTGTGCTCGTGAGGTGCAAGAAGTTGATGGAAATTTCGTGATGAATTTTGATGGAGAGGTATTCAACTCACTGATGCGAATACCTTCAGAGCAATACGACAGGTGCCAGAGCAGTTCTGGAGACCTGAAACGAAGAAAAAATTGGAAAGTTTAATGTTGCTTGGGAAAGCCCAAGTTTGCAGCCATATTCGGTGATATACGTTAGGTGAAGTTAAGTTGTTAAGAAATGTTCGAACAACTGAACGTATGCGAAAGATTAAATGCTTGCAGGTGTGAGCTTGTGTTCAACATGATCATATTTGATCTTCTTGTGCACTTGGTTATGAGAGGAACGGCTGATGACATGCAGTTTGTGCTGAAAGTGCTTGAAATGATTTCATCACGGAATTCTGGTGTCATCTTACAAGAGGTTAAATGAACTCAAAATAGGCTTGCCATGATTTTTTTACTAGAATTGAGCAATAAATGAATATTTTCTTGGCTACTTCGTTCTGTTCAGAGCTCAGAAAAATTTTATGGTGACAGAACAAAGCTGAGAAAACGAATGAAAATTATAGTTCAAGGAAGAAATGAGATGTACAATATTCCGATATGCCACATATATAGTCAAATGATCCATCAAAATGCGATGTTCTAGCCGCATCGCAAGTCACAGAAGAAATGTAAGAAACTGCTGGCATATAAAAGCTCCACGATAAACTCGACTTACGAAGGAAAATCCACAAGGGTAGTCAAAAGTGGAGGAATAAATTAATGTATGAAAAATTGATCATTATGCAGAGAATGCTTGAGCAAAGTTTAAATTATGTGAGATGACTCATTACGGAATACCAGCGGTTTGACGAATAACAATGACGATATTTCAGCGAATATTACTGGAATCACAATGAACCAAGCACGACCTCGAACCTTCTGT